TAATTTCCTCTCTCATCTCTATTTTCTTTTAATTATCAAAAAACAATCTCTATTTTCTTTTGCTCATGTTTTCTGAAAACCGGCTCAACTGCACTAAGTTTTTTTGCCTTGTAAAAAAATCATGTTTTTTGTGAGTTGGTATAAGTGATTACCAAATAAAACCCCATTAAAATATTTATATCCCCAGAAAATTATCTAGTTAAAATTTCTATTGGTCCTTTATTTATGTATAATAATAATAATCATTTGATTGATTTTTTAGGGTGAATCATTTGTTTAGTTTTTTTTAGGGGTGAATCATTTGTTTAGTGAATCGTATAATCCTTCCGTCCAGCTCAGTTTTAAAAAACAATTTCGTCCAGCTCATAAAACTTCTCTTCTTTGTCCATGTTCAGAATGGGCCATTGGCGCCCATAAGGAGCACAAATAATTCCCAAGCTAGCCATAGATAATCGAGAATGTAATCAATTCTAACCACTAGTAAGATAACTATAGTTGTGGCTGGTAGTGTCCCCTCTCACTAGGGTTTAGTTTCCTCTCGTAGCCGACGGTGACGTAGAGATCGTTTATACCTCCTCCGCCATTATCCTTTGATTTCCTCCTCGGGCTGACTAAGGGGCAACTTAGGTTGCTACCCGGCCTTGGTTGGGATCTAGGAGACCGGCAGAGTTAGGGTTTCTTGGAGCGCTCCTGTTCTTGTTTGGGCAAGGGGCGGCTACAGTCTGCTATCTGATTTGCGAGAGCCATGGCATCTAAGGACAAACCCGCTGATGGGGATAGCAAGGGCAAGGGGAAGCTGGAGGACCTGATGAAAGAACTAGCCTTGGAAGAGGGCGATCTAGATGACGTGATCTTCGACGAGGAAGACGAGCCGGCAGCGGAGGACCTCCGTTGGATGATCTTGGCCCGGGTTCACATGGACAAGGACTTCAACAACTATTGGTTTTTTCCGCACTATGCGAGCAGCGTGGGATCTGGCCATGCCGGTTAAGATCAAATCCCTAGAAGACAACTTGTTCATTATGCAATTTGACTGCCTTGGAGATTGGGAGAAGGTGGCGCAAGGAGGGCCGTGGCACTTCAAGGGCAACCCGGTGATTATAGCCCCGTACGACGGGTTCACAAAGCCGTCTACCATTGAGCTGTTAAAGTTTGAGATATGGGCTCACATCATCGATCTACCGCCGGCATATCATGGCAAGGTGAAGGCTCTGGCCTCAAAACTTGGCGAGTTTGTCGACTCCGAACCCTCTTCTTTTGACTTCGAGGGAAACTTCTTCAGGGTCAGGATCAGATTGGATGTGCACAATCCTTTGAAGAAAGCAACCTCCATGGTTAGGGGAGGGGAGCGAGAAATTTTTGCAGTCCGCTACGAGAGGCTACCGGATTGGTGTCAGGTATGCGGAATGATGGGACATCAGTTTAAGGAACACGGTGATGGGGTGCACCCTCCGTCAGCCCTGGTTTACAAAAAACCTTCGAGCGCCGGCTACCACTAGTTGGGCTACAAGGAGGAGGAACTATAAGCAACAACGTTAGCCAATGAAGGGGGACAATCATGCAACCGGATATGAGCATGCACGAGAGGCTGAGACCGAGGACATTATTGCAGATGGGGGAGATCTGAGCCGCAAACGCTCGTCCGATGCAGTAGTTACAAAGAGCCCAAAGGCCGTGACTGGGATGGAGATTATTCCGGTGGCCAAGGGTGATGGAGGAGCAGCGACCGTCCCGCCAAGTCCACCGCCGAAACAGGATCCTAAGAGGACAAAAACGCTGATGCGGGTGGACAAGAGCAATGAAGGTGGAGCAAAGAAGGCCCCTGGTGGCAAAAACAACAATGATGCGTGTGTGGCGGCCTCCTCAGGAGAGGACCGCCGGGCGCAATGAATCTACTAAGCTGGAACTGTCGAGGGATTGGCAACGCCCCGACAATTCAAGAGCTACGCGAGATCGCGACAAAGTTTGCCCCTAGAGTATTATGTATTGTTGAAACCCAAATTAGTAGGGAGAGAGCAGAGAAAACAAAATGTACTTTAGGTTATGACAATTCTTTTGCTGTTGATTCCTCCGGTAGGAGTGGAGGTTTGGCCATGTTTTGGAATGATGAAATAAAAATCGAGATTTTAGGTTACTCTAAGTATCATATAGATGCCAAAGTAAGTATGCTTGGAGGCGACCCATGGAGACTTTCTTGTTTCTATGGAGAGGCTCAGACTCATCTTCGCCAACACACCTGGGACACAATGATGAATTTGGCATCACTCCATGATATACCTTGGATGTGTTTGGGGGATTTCAACGAGGTACTACGGCAAGATGAGCATGACGGGATTGGCACAAGGAGCCAGTCTCAAATACAGAGCTTCAGAGATGCGGTGGATGTTTGCGGGCTGCTAGATCTTGGGTTCACAGGCAGAATGTGGTCGTTTGAGAAGAAAGTAGTAGGGGGTTCGTACACACGGGTATGGCTGGACAGAGCTCTTGCGACAACTAACTGGTGTACTCAGTTCCCAAGTGTTGTGGTGGAGCATCTCTCGGCTGCAACGTCGGACCACTCACCAATTCTAGTTCAGTTGGCACTGCAGGCTGCAAAAAAGATACAGAAGCGATTTCAGTATGAAGTAATGTGGGACAACCATGAGCTCAAGCCTACCGTCTGATCCGCATGGGAGTCCGAGGGTCATAATCTGACTGTGGCTGAAGTTCGAGCCAAGCTGGATGCCTTAGCAAATAATTTGGGGGACTGGTCTAAGACCACGTTTGGCAGCGTACATGGTGAAATACGAAGGCTGAAGAAGGAGCTTGAAAGGCTGCGTAGTGAGGTGCCGAGAGCTGGACCAACTCATGCCGAAACAAAGATAAATGACAGACTTATCGAGTTGTATTTGCGGGAGGAGATCATGTGGAGGCAACATTCACGGGTGGAGTGGCTCTCGGCAGGAGACCGCAATACTCACTTTTTTCATATGCGGGCATCAATGAGGCGGAGGAAGAATTTGATCAAGGCGTTACAACGCACCGATGGTCAGCTCACGGAGGATATGACGGAAATGCAGCAACTTGCCCTTGATTATTATAAGAATCTATATACCTCCGAGGGAGTGCGGGGCATCGATGAGTTACTTCAACATGTTCCTAGGAAGGTGACGCCTGAGATGAACGCAGTTCTGATGGCGCCATATGATGAGAAGGAAGTTAAAGTGGCCTTGCTCCAGATGTGTCCGTCTAAGGCACTGGGACCGGACGGTTTTCCGTCTCACTTTTTCCAGAGGCATTGGGACGTATGTGGGGAAGCAGTAACACGAGCAGTACTTGGTATTGTATGGGGAGAGGACAGCCCGACATGTCTTAACGATACTCTGCTGGTTCTTATACCCAAGGTATCAAATCCAACTTTGTTGTCTCAGTTTCGCCCCATTAGTCTTTGCAATGTATTCTACAAGATTGCTTCGAAGGT